ACCAGATTTGATAATCACGAAGTTCTCATTTGATTATTATTTCGTATGCTAAATACAATAAAACACTTTCATTAAAAATTCCATTTGTTACTAATCGGTATTAGCCTTTTAATCAATTTGTTTAACCATTTGATAGTCATAAGCAGTAGCTATGATGTCGTATTACCTTTAGGACCATTATAGATTTTCAAATTTTAATAAAGCAAATTCTCCACCATATCCAAAACCAAACATTAAGGCTAAACAAACCTAGGAGGTCTAACAAAATTTACTTTCACAACACCAGAAAGTTCTATAAACAATCATAACGATAATTAAACCACCCATTTTAGGTTTAGAAGAGGTATCACCTAGTTTCTTTCAAATTGAATAAGATCTGCAAAAATTAGGAAATCAAGAGTTAGAACCCCAAAAATGATAATAGGTAAAAAACGAGAATAAAAAATAAAACAAACAACTTACCCCCAAACAAAACCCTCGCCGTCGGCTCTGGCGCTGGCCGCGCCGCCGGCGACCGCCGCTCCTCCCTTCTCTCGGCGGAGGTCCAAATAATAAAAAAAACATAAACAAAAAAAACAAAACAAGTTAAATCCCAATCTTATCCATTAAATCGAATGAAAATGGGCATGCATGTAGAAAAGAGCTTACCAGAGGGTAAGATCTCGTCGTCGCCTCTGCTCCAACTAGAAAGAGTAGATCGAGATTATTAGAAAGTAAATCAAGAGTCCCTCCTCGGTTTTGGATCGGTCTCTGAAAGAAAAACAAGAAATAGGTTTAGAACATAGAAAATCTTAAAATCGAAATCGAAAAATGGTAAAAATCTTACATGCAAGCCAAAAAAAACCTAACCTTTAGAAAACCCTAGTCGTCATCGTCACTGCTGGCGTTGGCAGCGCTCGTCCTCAGTCGTCGCCGCCGCCGCCGCCTCTTTTCCCCGTCACCACTCGTTTCCAGAATAAGGAGAAGGGGAGATAGATTAAATATGAAGAAGGCTCATCTCCTTTTCTCGATTTACATGAAGAACGCGAGAAGGAGAAGATGTAGATGGCGGCGTTGTTCGGATGGTTAAGTGATTAGGGTTTTCGTTTCGAGGTAGGGATTAGCGGGAGATAGGGAGGCGAGAGACGAGGGAGAAGAAGATGAGGGTGGCGCTAGGGTTTTGGTTCGCTCTCTGGAAGAGAGACGAGAGGTGGAGAAGTGGATAAGGATCGAGATCGAGGGAGAGAGGGTGAGAGCGGCGGCTAGGGTTCATGTTTGGTCTTCTCTGGAGAAGATGAGAACGAGAGGGAGAGAGGCGAGAGGGAGAGTGAGGCGGCCGATTTTGGTTAATAGGTTAGGGTTTTTTTTTAGAGACTATATATACCCCATCGTTTAAAATGACTAAAATGCCCCTAGGGTTTTCAGCTTATTACGCGGCCCTGCCACCGCGTTTTCGTGAAACTACGAAATTGACCCTCCCCTTTCTCTGAAACCAAAAAGCGACGAAACAAAAATGAGGCTGGCGGACTTCGAACCCGCGTCCCCAACAACAACATCACTATGCTTGGGAGCATAACCAGTTGGGCTGCTGGCCCATCATCCGTCAATTTAACCTTTCCGCTTAATTTTATTCCTTCAAAATCCTTAATACGAAATGTAGAATTGCGGATTAAGTTTATCTCGTTTTTTTTTCAATACGTCACAATACTTCATAATAGCTAAAATACTTGCATTTATTGTCACAACCTCGTAATAATCTAAATGAATTTTTATTAACAAAATTATAATACGAAAATCACGATCAATGGAACGTGATTACAATTAAATTTTCAAAGTCCTAACGAACTACGTGGACTTTGATCCCGTCTAACGGGTACGTAGGCAACCAATAAGGTTCGAGTCCAACCAATCAATAAACTCTATCTTTAAATTTTTACGTCAGTGGGCGTATAATTAAATTGCAGCTAATAAAAATTATTTAATGGTCCAGTGGGACCCTAAAATTACAAAATTATTACTAAAATACACCCAACTCGCATAAAAACTTATCGACTTAAGTAGTACCGATTTAGGGCGTTGTGGGGGTGTTGCTTAACTTCCCCACACGTAACCGTACTCCCGAACCCATAACTTTATTTTCGCAGACCATATCTCGGTTCTGACCCTAAGGTTAGAGCCGATCCTAAGAGTGTTCGATCCACTCCAAGTAAGATCGATGGCGACTCCCAAAAAATGCAGACGCGACGACATTCGGACCCCCCCGGACGGGACGGTTGCGACAGACCCACTGTCGTCCTTCATGTTCTTCTTCATCCCCTATATCTCGTCCTCCGTGGACAATCAACCCACCACCCAGGTCGGAGGTGATCCCACCGTGGCGATGGCCGATGGTTTCTGGTCGTCATTGATTTCTACTAAGGAAAGGGCCACCGTCAAAATCTGCAAAGGAGAGGGATGTGTTGCTATTTTTCGGGAGAGAATATGGGGAATATGATAATGTTGAAAAGATACTTTCCCCATCCAACAATATTGCTAGGGATGGCAATAAAACCCGGACCTACGGGTACCCGGCCCAACCCAACCCGGTCAAACCGGGTAAAACTCGTGTTGATCGGGTTCGGGCCGAGTTCGGGTTTAAAACCGTTGTCTTGTTGTACGGGTTCGGGTTTGGGGGTACCCGACCCTTGGATACTCGGCCACACCCCTAACCCTAAAACCCTAACAGCAGCTGACCAAACATTTTCCAATTACCCCTCCCCCCCATTTCCCAGACCAACAAACCCGCCACCCCTCCAATTCTCTCTGAATCGCACTTCCGCCTCCACCCTTCGTGCCTCCCTTCTCGACGGTCGCCGACCTCCTACTCCTCCCGTCCCGCCTCCATCCCCCCTCTCCTCTCCGCGCCATTCCCATTCCCGTCCTGCAGCCCTCTCCCAGTCCCTGATTCAGTCCAACCTCCCGTCGACTCTCACCCGCGTCCATTGCTGCGCCTGCACCTCCGACCTCCACCTCCCATCGACTCTCGTCCGCCTCCGTTGCTGCACCTGCGCCTCCGGCGTCCACCTGCAGTCGAATCTCGCCTGCCTTCGCCCATCCCCTACTCTTTCTCTGCTCGGATTCCCCTCATCCCCTGCTCTTCTTCTGCTCGGCCGGCAAGGGACAAACTCCCACCATTCGCGAATTCTTGTGTTCGGCTCGGCTGCTATTGCCACTGCCGAGAAGCCTTCCAAGGTCCAGAGATCTTCTAGGCTGTGGCTGCTTCTCTTCTTTGAAGGTATGGAGGATTTTTCTAAGCTTTTGAATGGAAAAGTAATTGATGTGTCTTTTTGGGTTGTGAATGAATCATTTTGTAGATGCTGATCATACTACTTCAAATATTGAGCATAAGTGTTTCCGAACCCTGTGACATAATAAAAATGAATTGGTATTTGTGAGCATTGCTATAGGGATCTAGTTTCTAGTGGCAAGAACATAATATAAACTAACTGGTGGCCCTAAGCATTTGGGCCTTCTTAATGGGTTTCTTAAACTTCATTGTCAATTGCGTAAAGAGAGAATGTAAGAAAACAATTAACGACTTTGATATTGTTCTCACAGAAACTTTGAGCATTCTTGCCCTTCTTAATGGGTTTCTCAGATATTGGGTTCTGGTGGCAAAATTTGGATAATGTTTGAAGGTGAAGAACTGTGAGCGTAGGTTGGGAGTAGTTTTGTTTTAGAAGTTTGTTTGTCTGCACTTTTAGTCATGTGGAATTTAAGCTGCACAAATGGTCTATATTAATGACCATATATATCTTGTACAAGATTTCAACTTCCATCAGTTTTGTCTTTTATGGGAAAAGAACAATACAAACTTTGAATACCATCTTCTTCTGTGTTGCATTGTCATCTAGTTACTGAATACTTTAAATCATCATGATTTGTTTTGTTTAGGTGCTTGATATGAATTCAAATGCCTCCAAAGATAGAAGTCCAATGAGTTATGAAATTTTTGGTTACCATTATTTGCTAACTTGCTATTCTATTTGTACATGGCTTGGAAACAATTGATAAGCTCATGACTTATGCCACTGTGAATGATGACCTAGATCCAGATTGTGCTTCATGTGTTACCGGTATATTTAATATTCTTAATATCTTCATCAAAAACTCATCTTTCTTATGTTTGTGGAAACATTTTTAATTTTGGTCTACCTAATTGTGTAGAATGAAGTTAATGTTATGGAGCAGAGAGTGAAGCTAAGATGACAATGTTCAAGTTCTCAAGGAGGAGGAAACTTTAATTAATCATGTTGTGTATGGATAATTTGTGTCTTTCTTGAATTTTCTAGATTGGCGTTGAATAATTTGTATGGATAGTGTGTGATTTGCTTGAAATTTCTAGAATGGTGTTTTATGTATGGATAGTTTGTACGGTGAGATTTATGTTTGATTTTTATTTTGAAAGTTTCTTCTTATTGTAAATTTTTCACCACAAAAAAACTCGCGGGTACCCTGCGGGTTGGGTTGGGTTTGAGTTTGAGTTTTTCAAACCCAGCGGGTTTTACCCCGGGTTTTTTTTACGGATAAACCCATGGGTTTGGGTTTGGCAAAACCCGCCCCAACCTGACCCATTGCCATCCCTAAATATTGCTGCTTCCCTACTCATAATTATTATCACAATTAATGATTTCCCAATTTACAAGATTACAAACAATAAAATAAAAAACAACTGTCATTAATACAACTTGCCAAATGATTGAATGGAAAAGTGATCAATCAAGAAGAGGGTGTCAAAAAGCAGACCCTTTAGGGGGTTAGCATAGTATCCGACCCCCTGCATAGTTGAGGCAAGAATGTTAATTTCTAAAATCACGAACCAAAATTTGATTATATAATCATACTTCAGACCAAAATAAGGTATTATTATTAACCCCTGAAAATAATCGCAAAAAGGGGAAAGTCGTCACTTCCTCCACAGTAATTAAAGAAAATAATGTTTGTCCGACATTTCAGATTCCCAGGCCAATCAGCTCAGCTGAGCCCAAAAAAAAAAAAAAAAAAAACGCCGACCCGCTTAGCCTTCCCAGTTCCCTCCATCCTCCGTCTTCTGTTTCTTTCTCGCAGTGCTCCGGAGTCCGGAGTAGAAGAAACAGAGCTCTGGTAAAAGTCGAAAATTGAACAAGGGAAACGAAGAAAGAGAAAAGCCCTCTCCTTCTTCTTTTCCCTACCCCCTAGCTTTTCGTCTGTTCTCTCTTTCGGAGGGTGATCATGGCTTCTTCGTTCAACTCATTCCGCCTACAATAGCACAAGAAAAAGTACGTAACTTTGACCTTTCACCTTTCTCTCTTCTCTATTCTTCTTCTTGATAATGTCGCCTCTCACCTTCATTCGTGTTACCTCTGCATGTGCGGATTTCACATTGTGAATGGCTGCTACCAAACACTGCAACTTCTCCTTTATGGGTTTGGGGTTTTTTTTTTCACTTCGTTCCTCCCCTATGGAATAAGCAGTTTTTAGAGTTGTCTTCGGTATCCTTTCATCTTTCCCCCTTCAAAATCTGTGAGGATAGGTTGGTGAAACAAAGGGTTTTGTGAGAGGGAACAGAATGGGGTCTCTGGAAAGGAATTCTGTGGCAGATGCGAGGTCGAAGAGGCGAGTGCTGAGAAGGCTCCAGGCTAATTCAAGACGTAAGATTTATTCATCCAAGAATGGCATTAGCGGAGGCAGCTCCTCTGCCAAAACTCGGACAAGAACTAGGGGAAATTTGCCTACCAAGAGTACTACTAATGACTATCATTATCCTCCAGATCATGATTATGCCACCTTTTTGGATGCCTTGGGTCTACGCCTTCCAACAGCAGCTAATTCTTCCGACGGAGTGAGTGCTAATCGTGCCCCTGATAGTGAAGCCGCCGTAGGCTGTGTGGGTTCTGGTTTAAAGGAGGACATTGACATTGACCTTTTCAGATTATTGGCTGAGATTGGTGGTGGCAGCAGCATTAGAACAGAGGACAATGGTGTGGGCGACAATGAGGATCCAGGCGCTAACTGTGGATGTGACGACATGTCTATGGACGGTCGCAATGTTGCTGCTCGGTATGCAGACGACTCTTTTCTCAGGGCAAGCTGCTCCAATGATAAAAATGGGTTGAGTTGGAAGGATGATACTGGTGCTGAGACTACTGATGCTGGTTTCGATGACAAGTCAGTAGATAGCTTTCATGTGGATTCTGAGTTTGTTGAAGAATCCGATGACATTGGAGGCTCTGCGAATGATGATAATGTTGTGGATAGGTCTTTTGACAATGCACCTGCTGCCGAAGAAGTCGCAGACCATTGCAACAATGTGCATTTCGATCTGTCAGATCGAGATCAAACTGCTGCTGATGATATCATTGGAGCTTCTGATCCTGCATATCTTAGGTTCTTAGAGAACCTGAGAGAAGATGGGAATTCATACAATATTGAGCTCCCTGTGAGCAGTGGAGAGTCACTATCTTTTGTTTATGAAAAGCAAGATGATTCTCATGGTCAATGTGACGCCACTGAGACAAGAAAGACTTCTGTACAGAGGAAGAATGGAGAACCTGAAATTTGTTTAGGGAAAGGGTGCAATGAAACTCGCGATCAATGTGATGCTGGTAATGCAAGACAGACTTCTTCACAGAGTAAGAATAAGGAACCTGAGATTTGTCTAGGGAAAGAGTGGAATGAAACTCAAGGTCATTGCCAGTTAAGAGATGAAGCAGGTGCTGGATGTGATCTGAGAGTTCCTAGTGGGAGCAACAAGAGTTCATTGACGGGGAGGAAGTTCTTTTATAAAACTAAAAATGGGTTACGCAGTGGATTTAGAAGAGAAGGGAAGTCCCAAATGGAAGAGCTTTTGGAGAGAGAGAGCAAAAAGAAAGTGGACGAACGATGTGATCCAACTGTTGCTTCGGGTAGAGATAGGAGGAGCTGTTCACCCATGAAACGAAGGATCGAAGATGAGACAGGAGATGCACCAGAAATTGCATGTAAGGTAGAAGCTCCAATGCCAGCCAAGACAGGAGACACTAGAACGGGAAAAGTTATGGCACCCAGTTTGGTGAGAGATAGAGCAACTAAAACTATACCTTGTCGAAGTGAACTGAAAATGAAAGCTCAGAAGGATGTGAGCGACATGCAGAATAGGAAAAGGAGACGTTTGATTTCTGAAGAAACACAGAGAAAAGAGTCCTTGAATCCTGTTCTCTGTGAAGAACCTGCAAAAACTAAAACGCCTTCAAACAAAAATCTACAGTGCAGACCTAAAGTAGAGTTGGATGACATGCAGGATAGGAAAAGAAGACATTTCATTTCTGAAGAAACACAGAGAATAGAGTCCTTGAATCCTGTTCCCTGTGAAGAACCTTCAGGAACTAAAACGCCTTCAAACAAAAATCAACAGTGCAGACCTAAAGTAGAGCGGGATGACATGAAGGATAGGAAAAGAAGACGTTTGATTTCTGAAGAAACACAGAGAAAGGAGTCCTTGAATCCTGTTTCCCGTGAAGAACCTGCAACAACTAAAATGCCTTCAAACAAAAACCAAAAGTGCAGACCTGAACTAGATGGGGATCAAATTGACAAATGCTATGAGATATTCCTCGGTTCTCTGAAGAAGAAGCCAACGCATGTTGAATTTGTCCCTTCAGTTGGCGAAAAAGTGCTATATCACGACTATCCCCTCAGCTGTCCCACTAGCCCATCTGATTCAGATATATTGGAGATTGATGCTGCCACCTTTGCTAATGATGTCAATACTCCGTTCGTGCCAGCAAAGAACCATGAAGTCATTGTAATTGATTCCTCTCCCCACCCTCGTTATTGTTGTGTGCTCTTTTATTATTATTCTACTGGTGTTTTTTTTTTAAAGATTGCGTCTTTATTTGTTGGCTGTGTTTACAAATGAAGGATCTTGATTTGGAGCCTGAAGAAGGCCATGGTGGGAATCACTACAACTCTGTGTTCAGAGTGAAGCTTCTTGAGAATTTAAGAAAGCCTTACGACCAGAGAGAGTACAATGAGTTGTTGAAAGAAGTGTCTTGCAGGAAGCAATTGGTGAAAGATAGAGAACTCCGGCATGGACGAACAGTGAAGATAAAACTGAAAGCTGTTGGGCAATCTTACCTTGATAAATATACAGGTATGCCCCTCTGCTGTGCTACAAATTCGAAGCTTGACATTTTGTTGCAGCAATTTATCCCCCCTTTTTTTTTCTTCAGTAATCCGTGATTCTGTCATTAGTTATGGAGTCCCTCCAGGGTGATAACTTGTTAATATGGTGGTATTGTAGATTTTGCAAGAAAGCTTCAGGAGATAAAGCCTGATTCGGAGTGCAATCACCCCGTAAGGTTGAACTTGCTACGTGGGTTTGTCTATTGGTTGGAGGTTAGTGCTTCTTTTCTTCTTGAACATATAATTGGTCTTAAGCTTACTCATATAGTGGTTGTAATAACTGTATCTAATACTATTCCAAGAGAGTCGACATAGTTGTGGGACTACATCATATCATCACTACACGCTCTCACTAGTATTCTTTGTTGCCCTAGTTGGCAATCTCTCTAATAAACCTCTTAAATCTAGAGTTTGTGGAACTTGCTTGCTTATTTGACTATGATTTTTGGTGTTTTGCTTCTTTCCTGTTATAATTGTACTTGTCTGTCAGGGCTATATTTATTTCTTCTTCTTTTTTTTTGTCTGCAGAATTTACCCCTTCCTGGATCTTTCAAGCCATGGCTGGACGAGGCATGTTTGAAAGTGCTGCCAAGTTGCAAGCGAGTTCCCTGTGATTAGAGTGTTCAGACATTTCCTTGCAAAGGGGGAAACGAGACAGGTCAGCTTTTGGGTTAGATGACTAACTAACTATTTAAAAGACTCATGTTGGCGGCAAACAAACTTTGTAACATATGTATTGTATAATATATTTCCTGGTCTAACTCCATAGCTTGTTGCCATCACTGTACATCTGGACTACTCCCCTTGTCACCGTCGTTGAATATGATCCTGGGTTTCCCCATGCTGAAGTTGAGCGTCTTTGCTCTCATGTTGTATTTGATCTCTCCATTGTACAGCAGCTTCCTTATGTAGTGTTCAATGTCTGAACCGATTAATCGAAGTGTGTATTCTGTCAACGGTGCTCCCTGGTTTCAACACGGAATTGTCAGAAACTTGTTCGATGGTAAAGACAGATTCACATAATGTAATGGCCATTGAGTTGAAAACAGATTGCAGGGAATCGTCGAGCTCAACAATGGTTCGACGCGGTTCAACCAGGACCCAGTACAAGAAGGAAACATACGTAGCTTACCTCGTAGTGATCGACGAGCTCTTGGAAGTAGGAGTAGACCTTGGTACAGGTAACATCGTCCCAGACGAACTCGTTGGTCGGGTCGAGGATGAGAGTGAGCTTATCCATCTGTGTCTGGTCCATCTCGCAGGTCACAGGGTCGATGTAGGCAGCGAAGATCCTGACGTGCGAGTGGTGCTGCTCAGCCACTCCCCGCCGTACTCTTTCCCCATGTTCTTGCTCTTCACGTTGATCTGTGGCTCCACCGGCCTCGGCTTGGTCGGTTGCTTCTTCACTGGAAGCGTCTCGCTTGCCGTGTCTATCTTCGTCGTCTCCTCTACCATTTCTTGCTATTGTTGTTGCTGTTGCTGTGCTGAAACTGTAAGTACCCTTTTGCTGTTGTTTCTCAATTGTCGTTTGCCGACCATATGTGCAGTGGAGAAGGCCATGTAAGATGATGATGCAGCCGCCATTGATGAATGGTGGTCGAGAGAGAGAAAATGGAAGGGTGGGTTTTGGCTATGGATGGCTGGTGGAACTTCCTGTTGCTACCATTTTCAGTTAGTGAAGGCTTTGCGTAGGGCCAATGAGCTTTAGGTCCACTTGTTTTTTGCGGATAGGATAAAAGCTTTCGTGTTTCACAATTGAACTAAAGCAGTGAAAACGAAGATTTTCCACAGCCTCTCTGAAAATGCTCTCGTTTCCTCTGAACCCTGGCATGGCAACCCTCCGGTGGGGTGAATTGCAAGTTTGGTCACCCATATTACTCATTTGTAATACTTTATCCATCCGAATAAAAAATCCTTCAAGTCAGCCATCGATACTACACTTTTATATCATGTTTGACTGTTAAAGTGATCACGTGTCCTAAAAATAAATAAAAAATAATTGATTTTTATTTTCATGTCATACTAAAATTTAATAAATATATTTTTCATAAAAATGTAAAAAAAAATATATTTTCATGAAAAAACCCTTATCTTCTCTTTCTCCCCTCAAGACACACTTCTTCCTCGGGCAATCTGCCGCCCTAACATTAGCAGCAGCAAAAGTCGCCGCCACCTTCATGGCCATTGTTCACCATCATCTCCCCTTCTCTGTTCCCACTCTAACAAAATCTAGAAGGATCAATTCCTGGAGGAGTTGCAGCTAAACGTAAACCAAATCTCCGGGGTGATTCGACCGCAGATTGAGAACTACCGAGAGCTAACCCAAGTCGTCGTTGTCGCCGTGTTGAATCCCTTGCCTTAGCCGATGCATTTGTTCCCCCTAGAGTCAAGTCAAAGGAGTTGTTATCGACGGTTGAATCCCCTGCCTCATGCGCCGCATCTGCTGCAGCTAGAGTCGGAATCCCATGCCTTGTCGCCCCTCTACTGTTCACCTCCTCACCATACAACTCGTCTCCCTAATACACCTTCCTTCTCACCTTCGTGTACAAAACCCACATCCCCAAACATCAGATCAAGATAAAAAGCATAAACAAAATTCCAATTGATTCGCCTATCACCATTCTCAAAATCTCAAACCAAAATTCCAATTGATTCGCCTTCACCTAGATCCTCGGATATTTGCCAGATTGTTGCCCACCACCGATCTTCGCCCATCTGTTCGAATCTTCGCCCTGATCGTCGTTCAGTGTCAGTCTTCGCCCAGATCGTCGGTCGTCGTCAATCATTGCCATCCTCCACCGTCGTCAGTCCTTGCCATCCTCCGCCGTCGTCGATCCATGCTGCTGACACAGTGGTCTCGATTCGTTGTGGAAGAAGGAGAAGAAGAGAGATGTAGCGCTTGTTTTTTTTCCCCGGTCGGAAGAAGGAGCGTTGTTGAAGAAAAGAGGGGAAAATGAAGAGGAAGAAAGCGAGAACGAATTGCTTTCTCCGCTGCCCGCTGGGTCTCTTTCTCTCTTTTGTGAGGTGGAATTCTTAAATAATCATGTTTTATTATATTTTTTTTTAATTGCAACATCATCATTTTAACAGTCAAACATAACTGTTGACCGCCACGTAGGACAGATTTAACGGAATTAGACGGCGAGTGACCAAAGATGATATAAAAGTGTAGTATCGGTGGCTGACTTGAAGGGTTTTTTATTCGGGTGGCTAAAGTGTTACAAATGAGTAATATGGGTGACCAAACTTGCAATTCACCCCCCTCCGGTGGCTAAAATGACCCTGTCAGGACGGCCACCGGATCCCGCTGTCGTGCAACCATCATCTCCTAATGTAAGCGATTTAGGGTCCCAAGGCGCCCCACCACTGAGTTACAAAACAGCACTTGCCGGATCTCCGGCGAAGTCTCCCGTAATGACACACCAATGGACCTTCAACGGTGCAAATGACATAGAGGTGGGATCATTTCAGGGTGAGCCCGAACTCAAAATCTCTTCACAGCTCAAGGAGCGGCTATGCATACCGTGGAAACGTACACTAGTTGTTCGTCTCCTGGGGCGGTCAGTCTCGTACCAATATCTTTGTGCACAGCTCCGTTGGAAGTGGAGACTGAGCGAAACGTTGTAGATCTTGGACCTGAACAATGCTACCTTCCTGGTCAATTTCAGCAATGAGCAGGATTATCTCCATGCTCTCAGCCTGGGACCGTGGGTGATCCTAGACCACGATTTGGTTGTCCACCAATGGTCCCCGGCCTTCCGGACCTCCGATAAGCCTAATCGTTCGGTGGTAGCTTGGGTCCAGCTACCAGAACTACCAATCCATTTCTACCACCGGGAGGTACCTTTTGCCATGGGGAACTTGCTGGGAAGAACAATCAAGCTCGACTACCACTACGAACATCTTGAGCGCGGCAAGTTTGCAAGAATAGCGGTGGAGCTCGACATGACAAAACCACTCAAAACCAGGATTCGACTGGACGGATTTTGGCAATGAAGGTTCGGACGAGGCAATGAAGGAGGTAAAGGAGGAAGTTCTTCCGATGGAGTCGTGGGATGCAGTGATAGTGGCGTCGAAGGAGGTTGTAGAGTGTGGCAATGGTGATTGGAGGTACCACAAGAGAGGTGGAGAGCGCTTTGGAACAGGGGAAGCAGAGGGTGACGATGGTGATTGGCGGCCTGATTTGTTAATTGCGACAAGGAAGTGAAGGAAAGGTTCTGCCGGTGGAGGAGCGACAGGCGGTGGTAGCAGCCACTCTTCCTCCTGTTCGTAACCGCTGCTGCACAACAATATTTCCAAAGGGAATAAATGAAAGAAAGAGACAGCATATGTGTATATTTTTTGCTCCCATTCTATTTCTATAAAAAAACGTTCCAGGGGAAATGATTCATTCCCATGCATTTTATATTGGTCATTTTAGGCTACAATTTATAGTTGGTTATGAGGTTTGGAGAAAACAAACCATAGTAATTGAACGAAGTATAATGAAGTGATTTGAATGAAATGTTTAGTCGTGGTTGAAATGAGTTTGGATGCGGATAGTATAACACAAATATTTTTAAAGCACATTAGAAACCTCATAATTCATACCACAAACACTATAAAACAAACCACAAAAAGCATACCACAAATCTCCTAATACAAACCATAAATCTCCTAAAAGATACTAGAAATACCACAAAGCAAACCACAATTATTTTAAAGCACACCAAAAACCTCCTAATGCAAACCACAAACACGATAAAGCAACCCACAAAAAACTTCCTAATGCAAACCACACGTCTCCTGAAACATACCAGAAACCCCATAAATCAAAACACAAAATTTTCAAAAGCAAACCACACAAACCAAACCAGAAACCTTCTAATGCATACCACAAATCTCCTAAAACAAACCACAAACATCACAAAGCAAACCACAACATTTGCGAAAGCACACCAGAAACCTCCTAATGCAAACCACAAACACAGTAAATCAAACCACAAAAAAGTAAACCGGAAACGTCCTAATCCAGACCACACGATAAATCAAATCAGAAACTTCTTAATGCAAACCACAAACACGATAAAGCAAACCACAAAAGGCATACAAAAATATGAGAAACCAAACCATAAATCTCACAATGCAGACCATAACATCCGGTGGTCCTTGGCCGTTGACCAGTCAACGAAGACCGTTGACCAAACTCCGATGACATTCAGTGATCGAATTCCGGCGCCGATAATGCATATTCCGACCCTGATGACTAGATTTCGACGTCGATAAGCATATTCCGACCACGATGAGCATATTCCGATGACGGTGAGCATATTCCGATGACAAAATAGCATATTCCGGCGACAAAAGCATATTTCAGTGACCGTGGTCAGATTCCGATGACCGAATTCCGACGACCAAAATTTTGGGCCGAAAATAAAAAAATATTTTTTATTATTTTATTATATTTTTTTATTATTATTTAAACATATTTTTTCATAATAACAATTATACCCCTGATTTGATTTTAAACATATTTATCACAACCCTAGTTTCCTATTGGTTGGAACACAAGAGGTGTTGTTATAGTAACCTGTCCCCAAAATATATATTCCACAAACACTAGGGCGGTAGATTAATTGGTTTTGATGGGACGTGTCGCTAATGGGGGATTCATTGTTTCTGTTGGGGGTATAATGAGCAAAGCCCAAGTGGGGGGCAAGGCCTAAGCAAACTTGGGCTCCCAAACAGCCCAAGTGGGGGGCAAGGCCCAAGTAAAGGGGATGCCACATGAAGACAAGGCACAAGAGGCCAAGGGAGGACAGGCTGTCATGTGGTCCAGCGCCTGCAGGCGCCTGTCACGTGCCAGGAGTCTGACAAGGTGGTTAGGATGTCTGGCCAGAAAGAGACAAAAGCATTGAATGAAGGCAGTGAGGCAGAGAGGATCAACCTCGAACTCAGGTAAGTATAAATAGAGGCAGTTGGTAGCATTTACGCAGGTTGGACTCTCTCGGAAAAACTCTAGCTTTGAGACATCTCTCCCGTCCTAAGAAACTAACTTGGGCGTCGGAGGATTAACGGGCCGAGGCGCCCCCTCCTTGTTAGTGTGTGCAGATCGGCGCCTTTCGAGAGAGGATTCCGGAGAGTCTGGCGAAGGGTATCGAGTCTCAAACAATTGGCGCGCCAGGAAGGGGAATATAGCCAGGAACCATGAGTGAAGAGGCGCCGATGAACGAAGAAAGGGAAGAAATTACGGAAGAACAGTCGGAGCGGATGAGAGGGCAGACGCCCGAGGAGGAAGAAGGTGAAGGAAGTGAGGGCACGTTTCGGGGATCCGAAGGCGCCTCAGTCACGAAAAAGGAATTGTTCCGGATCATTGAGGATCAGGACGAGGCGATCGAGGCGCTGCGGCGCGAAGTGGACGCCTTAAGAAGGAGTGAAGGGATGACGCCCAGCCCGACAAAGAAAAGAGAAAGGGCGGAAGAGACGGAGATTGAATCGGGGTGCCCGAGGCGTCCCGGTCTATGGCGCCCGCGCGACCACGGGGCGCCGGATGTTAGTGGATGGAATGGAGGAATCTTGGGGCGCCTTTCACGCCACTGTCCTGTCAGGCAACCTCTGGCGCGTTGCATATTGTCGGAGCCAGCCGGGACCAACATTCCCCCACTCCCAGCCTATGATGGAACTGGAGACCCCGAGGACCACCTTAACGGATATTTCACCAAAATGCAACTCTATAACAGCACAGACGCCACTCTCTGCAAGGTGTTCCCGTCCACCTTTTCGGGCGTAGTTCTCGATTGGTATCATCAGATCGGTGAAGGGCGCATCGACTGCTTCGAACAGTTTGCAGCGATGTTTTTGGCGAAGTTTGCCAGCAGAAAAAGGCGCTCCTTGACCATAGGCGCCTTGTTTAAGGTCAAGCAGAAAGAGGGAGAGCCGTTGCGGGAATTTTACGAGAGGTGGCTATCCGTGGCTTTAGCAGTGAAGGACGCCCAGCCGTCGGTGCTGGGAGTGTGTCTGAATGAGCGCACCTCCAGCGAGGAGTTGTGCCGGGCGCTCGCGAAGAGAGATGTGGTGTCCACAGAAGACCTGGACTATCGAGTGCAAAAGGTAATTGTGCTGGAGGAGACATTAGCAGCCAGGAGGGCAGATCAGAGGAAGGCGCGAGTGGAGGAGGCCGAGGCGCCGAGGAGACAGTACCCAACGAGCAGTTCGGGCTATGCGCCCACGAGCCAGCCCCCGCCAAGGAGGAACGATATGGGGCGCCAGGCGCCTAGAGGGGCTGGGCCCTTCGCCGAGTATAACGACACCTTGAAGAATGTGCTCCAGCACGTCAAGGAGAAGGGATACCACATCAGGTGGCCAGGCCCGATGCGGGGGCAACCCAACGAGCGGAACTTGGACCGATACTGCGATTTCCACCGTGAGATTGGGCACCACACGGCTGATTGCTACCAACTTAAGACAGAGCTGCAGGGTCTTGCGGACAGAGGAATGCTCAATGACTTCATCAGGAAACCCGAGAAAAGAGTGCATAGGGCATGTGTGGCTGGAATGGTGAGAACGGGGGAGGAGCTGCCGCCACCACCCTATGACTTAGACCAAGAGAAGGCGCCTGATCGCGTGCGCCTGATGATCGAAGCCATTTCAGGGACAATGGACCTGAGGGAGAAGATAGAAGCGAAGCGTCGGTTGAGGGCGGCGTCGGCGGATGTGCAGGAGTCGATCGACATTAGCTTCAACAAGGCGCCGGAGGAGGCGTGTATGCTCCCGTCCATGGACGCCTTGGAAATACAAGGGGTAGTAGCCGGATGCAGGGTAAGGAGAATGCTGGTTGATACGGGAAGCTCCATGGATGTGCTGTTCAAGGATACGGTGGTTCGCATGCAACTATCCCCGGAGATGATAAGACCATCGGAGTCGGTACTAGTAGGCTTTTCTGGGGCGCCCGCCAGAGTAATTGGGCGGGTATGCCTGCCCGTCACATTGGGAGATGGGGAGCA